ATATAATTTAACAGTGTTAACGGCTACCTTGATTTATGTTATATATATATATATATATATATATATATATAATTTCTTTTTTCAAAGTCATGCCTAGATCTATGTCTAATTTGGTATGGTTGTCCATGGTTCTTTGTCTGACCATAGCTTTGGCAGACACTTCGTTCAAACATTCTAAACGAAGTTGGACTGCTGAAGATTTGACTAAACCAAGTTTTAAGGTAAGGACAAACACCTTCTCTATCACACTCCACCTCTCCCGCGAGTGAGTTGCGTAAGCCATTATCAATAAATACTATTTTGTAAGTGGCGAATATTATTTTGATAATAGTTTAAAAACTGATTAATGTATAACATTATCTAAAAACTCATTTCACCGATCAGGTTCGGTCGACCAGACAGGAACCACGCTAGTGGGGGGGGGCGGGGGGTAGGGGAAAGGACCCCCGCTTGGACCCTCCTGTCGGGGAATATCCAGCAAGGTCGTCTGAAATAAGAGAAGTTTTTACACAGGACGATTCGATAACGATTTATCGTCTATAGGATAACAGTATATTTTGACAAATCAATTCAAATGAGATCATAAATATGGAAAAACGATAAAATCGTAATAGAGCATAGGTCTGGAAGAATGAAATCAGTGAACGTACTATTATATAAATAATTGTAAGTTAATTTTGATATATAATGATTTGTTATCAGTGAAATTGCTATAGGCATATATATAAATATTTTTTTGTTATCCATTCATTATTAATATATAATGAAATTAGTAAACTAATTATATATAAAGAAAGAAAACGTTCACGCATTTTATTAAAAAATATAATTTCAAGATACATATATAAAAATGATGGGTGATCTATTTAATTATATATTAAATAATGAATTTAATATAAATAATTGTGTTAAATAATAAATATACAGGGTCATGTGCAGTTAAGAACTACAAAAAGGGCTCATCAGAAAATATACGAAATTAGGCCCCGCGAAAAAAATTCCGTGCATGCCGCGAAAGGCCGGATTCACTCACGATATGCTTAGGAAGACCGAAATTATGGCCAGGGGTAAAAACAATGTGACACCGGTTTATTTAAACAAATTTACTATAACAAAAAAATATCTCAGTACAAGCCCTAGTGGTCAGGTAGGCACCTGACCCTCGGGGCCGCTTTTGCCGTCCTGATGCCGGAATGATTTTTTTTTATTAAATTATTATAGAAAGTTTCTATCTTTTAATTGAAAGACTGATAAGTGAAGCAGTATTGATCGAATATTTCGTTGTGTATTACAAGTCATTAGGATTTTTTTATAATTAATTATTCTAATAATGACGAATTATTAAAACGATCATGTACAAATTAAATCAAATGTGTTTCAGCAACGAATTATTTTTATTTAAACACCACAGTATTTGATTTATCATCGTGGGAAAAATACAAAAATATCGAATGAAGATAATTCATTTGAAAAGTTTTATATTGAATTGGTGTAATATACTTAGAATCATAAACATTCTCGATCCAATATCAAAATAATTATTACCCAAACGAGAAGCCGTTTACTGGTCCCGTGGAAAAAAAATCCGTGCTCCCAGAAGGCCGAATTCACCCTCGACAGGCTGAGGAAGACCAAAATCACAGCCGGGGACCCAAAATCCGGCTTCGGAAGAACACTGTTCTTTACAAAATTCCTAATATTTAAAAAAAACATAATATTTTTTTATAAAATATTATTCTAGATACTCCTAACCAAAATATTTATCAGCACAATAGCCCTTGGTCAGCTAGACGCCCGACCCTTCTAACAGCTTCGGACATTTCCTTTTTATTATTTTCTATTTTAATTTTATTATTTAATAAAACATTAAAGGTATTATAATTATAATTACAATAATTATTATAGTGAAACGTTCTATCCCCCCCCCCCATAGAAGCCGACCTGTACTAAATACTATCGGACAAACTATTTATCAACCTGGTATGATTCACCACCAACTTGTTGCTCAGGATACAAATGCGTTAGGCGTTCTGGTATTTTTGGACAATGCGTGACGATTTAGCATGAAATAGCCAATTTAACGATTCTAGAAAGGATAGACGTGTACTGATGCAGTGAAATATAACAAAGAAATGAACAAATATTGATCAGAGCAGAAACAGTTTCTTATAGGCCTACACAAGTGTAACATTCATTGAATTGCACCGTCAAGGATTCCTCCTGTATTAAATTTTCAACAATTCCAGACTTCAAAATAAACGATAACTTGCAAAACAGTTATGGTTTCAGTAAATCTGTTATTAGTTAATCTGTCATGAACTATATTGGAGGTTTCGACAAACACTTATTTTCATTAACATTCAATATCTCACTATAACAACAAATACATCTGCTATTTGAAAGTAGGCCTATATACAAAAAATAGGCTAAGGTTATCAGATAATTTTATACTAGGCAGTAGTCAATGGACAATTGTCATGCATTTTTATATTGCCAAAATTAACGAATATAATGTGCACTCTTCTTCTTTGACTTGTCATTGTGGGAAAAAAAACAAGACAAAAAAAACCAAAAAAACAAACAAATGATTCAATAGAATTAATTTGAAAACTCTGAACGTTTTTGAGTTGCTTATATAATAGGCATCTTTAGAATTCAAAACATTTTCGGTTCAATATCAGCATATTAAATGTTGTTCAATATCTTCTTCAAAAAAAATACATGTTACCTATAACCGAAAGTACAATTCAAGCATGCCTTACTAAGTTGTCAAATTTTAGTGACTAAAAACTGTTTGGGGCAAGCAGTTGTACCCTATGTGCGAGGTGTGGTGTATTGCATCGTATTGGTGGGTCGCGGTGAGGCCAGCTCTTCTCAGACAGGGAAACTGGTACCTTCGACAGAGGATTAGTAACCCCGACAGGGGGAGTAATACACCCCTACAGGGGGACTGTTAACTTGCATGGTTTTCTATCAATTTTTTTTTTAAAATAAACTCACAATAATTAACACAACATTTTATTATTATTTTTTTAAATTACCCGACAAAGTTAACTTTCCCCCTGGGAGCGCAAGACATCCCCGATGGGGTGGACACTCTTGTCGGGAAGCGTGGACCCATCGTCAGGGAATTACTGGCGCCGCATCTGCTCTCCAGGTCAATTTCTCCAAAGGAGGAGCCGTAATCTAGCCCCGTGCGAAAAATTCAAAAAAATACAAAAAATATCGAATTAAGAAAAATTCTTTTATTGAATTTCTTATAATAGACTTAAAATTAAATATTCTCGGTTCAATGTCAGTTATAGGCTACCCAAAACTTCGGACCGCTTGGCCGCTCCTGGACAGGTGCTTGAACGATGCGCTATAAATTGAAATAGACAAATGTATGCCATATACACAATTTTTTTTTTTTAAATAATAATAATAAAACAGTAATACTACATCCTTGAATGACAAAGCAAAGCAAGTTCCAAAACCGATCTTAATATTTCGGACAGTGATGAAGAGGATAACGACGTACACGAAGAAGAACACACAGTAGAGCACAATGATAGTGATAAAGCATACCCAGATAAAGAGTCATCAACGGATAAATCGAGAGACGTGATCGAAATTATCGAACACCTTCTTAATAAACCTGCCAATGCCGGAAACGCTCAGGATTCCGTCGAGTTAGACGAAAAGGTTCAACAAATAATGCAGGAAGCTATTGAAAGGGCTATCAACCACGAAGGGAACACAGATATAGACAAACAACCTTTCAAGTTAAAGAAAAAAGACAGGAAGAAATTAAAGAAGCGTGAGAAGAAAACAAAAAAGGATGAACAGGAAAATAAGCATGCTGAAAAAGCAGGCAAGAGCATAAGAGGAATGAGACCGATAACGGACGTTGCTACAGCAGGGATTGCAGAAGCGGTTATTGCTCAAGACAATCACATTGAAAGTGCTTCTGTCGCCAGACAAAACTTTGCCGGATCGAAAAGAAAAATAATAACTCACAGTGGTGAAAAGAATGCAGAGAAAAAAAGAGAAGAAATCTGACTCTGTAAGTTAAAGTATGTTATTGGCTTTAATGTCAATCATGACATAAGCGACTTACAATTATTCTCTTTTGTAAATAATGTTTTATAGAGAAAAAAAAACCCAGATAATTATATTTAAAAAAAAAATTAAAATGAAAAGAAAATTAAATAAAAATCCTCTACATCTAATCTCATTGAATGTGAGTGGTCTAAGGAACACATATAAGATTAGAAAAATATATAAATGGTTTGATGATCAAAAGGCCGATATTGTTTTATTGCAGGAAACACACTTTGATAAAAAAAATCCATAAGTGTGTATGACAAATTTTGGAAGGGGGAAATGTTCCATAGTTTCGGAACAAGCAAAAGTAGAGGCGTCTCAATACTAATTAAGCCGGATTTAGACATAACTGACATTAAAAGCAAATACATAGATGATGAGGGCAGAATACTAAACATGAGTCTTAAATATAATAAAAACATGTTTAATCTTATAAACGTTTATGCTCCAAACAACTATAAAGAAAGGACACTATGTGGCGAGGCAGACGGAGAGAAAAGTATACAATCACAACCGGTCTTAATGTATGAGAGTTTTAATAAACACCATTCAATTCTGTGAAGAATGAATAACAGCATTGTGAATAAATAATTAAATAGCAAATCCGTATACTCTCCTTAAAAAAAAAATTGAAAACAAAAGATGAAGCATATAGCAATAATAATGCATCTTTAACCCATTACATAAACTTAGTAAAAAACAGTCAAGGCATGTACATTAACTTACTAATTTGACCGGGTGTAAATTTAACAAACAAGTCTCTGGTTAGCATCATAAGCAGTGGATGGTAAATCCCTAAACATCACAATATACCACATATATTGACAGTATATAAAAACAGGTATTTTACTGAAATAACAGTCAGTAAAAACATCAGAGTGCAAGCTCGTTTCTTGCCATGTGGATCTACGATGCTTGTAAAAGTGCGCCCTCAATAATATTAATAATTAATCTAGTTTCGGTCGAAACATCCTCCCCCCCCCCCCCCCCCCCCCCCCCAACAACTAGCCAAATTACTCATAGCCCTCTACAGGGTAAATTACAACAATCTTATTGACTGGTCTACTAAAGTGTCCATTCGAAGTCTTCACTCTAACATTTCGAACTCTTCCATCAGGTCCGGGATACACTTCAGATATGCGTCCTATATTCCATTTTCCACGGATCGCGTTCGGATCAGCTAGTATAACAACATCATCGACTTTAGTATTTCGTTTGTCTACATTCCATTTACGTCGAGGCACCAACAATGGAAAGACGTCTCTCGACCATCGCTTCCAAAACGTGTCAACTATCTGCTGTACAAATTCAAGTCGGTCTCTTGGGTTCTTGCTTGGACGGAATGGTCCTTGCGGTACTCTACTGGATGCACGTCCTAACAGAATGTCATTGGGACAGACGTATTTACCGTCATCTGGATCATTTGGTATACGCCCAATCGGTCGTTCATTTACAAGGTTAGCTATCTCCTGGAAACAGGTATGAAGTTCAAACGGTGTTAGTTTCTGTTCACCTACGGCTTTCTTCAGCGCTAACTTACAGCTTTTCACCAACGTTTCTGCACATCCATTCTGATGAGGAGCAAGCGGTGTGATAAATTTCCACGTAACTTCCTGTTCGGCACAAAACTCTGTTAGTTCCCTCTTAGTCCAACCTCGAATCATTTCTCTCAGCTGCCTTTCAGCACCAATAAACTGTGTACCGTTGTCGCTTGGTATCATCTTCGGCTTCCCTCTGATTGCGAAGAAACGTCTAAGTACTTGCATGAACTCCATCGTTGAACAATCAGTGACGACTTCTATGTGTACTGCTCGGGTATTCAGGCATGTAAATATAACACCGTAGTGTTTTGCTGTCTTACGTCTTCCTATTTTGACATTATATGGGCCAAAGTAGTCACATGCAATGTAATAAAACGGTGGTGTAAACGAAGCCATCCTTTCTGCAGGCAGTTCCACCATCAATTGTGTTTCAACACGGTGATTAAACTTTCTGCATTTCACACATCGGAATTTCACTGTCTTAGCAAGGCTGGTAACTCCTACTATCCAATATTTGAATAGTAACTGCAGCAATTCCATAATGTCCTCATTCATGTACATCTCTGGTTATCAAGTATGAGATGTGGTCATCTCTAGGTAGTAACACAGGATGTCGTTGTTCATATGACAATGTTCCATTATGAGCTCTTCCACCCACATGTATCAGATTATCTTTCACAAAGGGACTTAATGATTTAAATTCACCCCTTTAAACTTTACCATGGATATGTTTTTGAGCTTCGAATATCCAATAGCCTTCAGCAATGGATAACTCATTGGTTGACAGTGATCCATCTTCTACTCTGCACTTAGCTTTCATATTAGAGATAAATCTAAACACGTACGCTGTAAATCGTATTAGCTTTCTCCAACTAGAATATTTCTTACAGTCGATGGCCTTCTTGTCTTCTGCATTAACTATCAAAATGGTTTTTTCCTTCTTCTTTTCTTTGTCAAGTTCTTTGACATCTGCCTTCGGAATAGATTTCGGCCATTGTTCTTCTGGAAGCTTCAGAAAAGCAGGTCCATTCTTCCAGTCATGTTCCAAATCTTTGACTTTAATCCCTCTGGACACTTGGTCGGCAATGTTATGTTCTCCAGGTATATGACGCCAGTCTGCCGGATCGGTTTTGTTCTGAATTTCAGCAACTTTGTTAGCCACAAATGACTTGTAGAGTCTAGACTGACCCCGTATCCATGACAAAGCGATGATACTCTCCGAAAAGAATATAACTCTATCAAATTTCAGAGACATCTCTTCCTTAAGTGTAGCATACGGTCTCGATGCCATAACAGCAGCTTGTAACTCTAAACGAGGCATAGATAGGTGTTTTACTGGAGCTACTCGGGACTTGGCTGAAATGAATCCACTCCAACATCACCATTAAAGTTTTCCCATCTCGTGTATGCTACTGTGCTGAATGCATCTTCGGAGGCGTCACAGAAAATAATCAGTTCAGCTGCTTTACTTGAATGGACTGGTAATAGACATCTCGGGAATGAAGTACCATCTAATTCTTGCAGTTCTTTGAAAATCTTTCTCCATTCAGCTTTCTCAACTTCAGCTAAATCATCATCCCAACCATACCCTCGCTGCCATAGTTTTTGCATCATAATCTTTCCATTGATGAGAAACGCAGTTGCAAATCCAATCGGATCAAAGACCCTTAGTGGCAATTTCACAGAGTACCATTCTCTTAGTTAATGACTTCTCGTGGAATTTGGCTGGTTTGACTTTATACAGTATTAGGTCACTGTTAGGATTCCAAACTACACCTAACACTTTCTGTTCAGATGAATCAGTCACAGGTTTGTTGTCAGGTTGCTGGTTAATGTCTGGATTGTTAGGTTTTCCATTCGATACCCATTCTTAAATCCACTTTCTAGAACAGTGTCTATTTCTTTGGTTAAACTCTCGGCTGTGTTCACATCTGGTACAGAAGTCAGTATGTCATCCATATAGCTGTCGTTTTCAATAATTTTGGCGGCTACCGGGTAGGTTTCTTCATTCACCTTGGCCGTTTTTCGTAATGCAACTTGAGCCATCGCTGGGGCAGACTTGTCAACGAACGTTACATTGGTTTTCACATAGACGTCTGGTTTCTTGCGTTGGTCAAAATCACGCCACAAGAATCTGTGAACATGCTGATCTGTTTCAGGAATCGCTATACGATGATACATTTTGGAAATGTCGGCAGCTATGCAATCTTCTGTTGTCTAAACCGCAGTAACACTCCAAATAGACTGTTCAGAAGGTCAGGTCCTTTCTCCCCAAAACTCATTAAGGGACTGGCCATGGAATTTAGAGGATTAAAGACAATCCTTACCGGTGTAGATTTTTTCTCTGGTCGGACAACTGCGTGGTGTGGTATATAGCATACAGGTCCCTTATACTTGGCAATTTCTTCATCTGTCAGTTTTCTGGAGAATCCAAGTTTTTTCATTTCTTCCATCTGTTGTTGGTATCCTTTCACATGATCTGGATTCTTCATGAGTTGTTTCTCAGTAGAGGCTAACATTCTCTCAGCAAGCACTTTATTGTCAATAAGCTCAGTTGGGTTTCGTCTCCACGGATACGGTATATGCCATTTGTCTTTGATTTTTTTCGCACGACTACCACATGTCATCAAATTGTACTCGTTCAACAGGAGTCAACTTCAAATCATCTTTTGGTGTGCAAGTACAGTTTGGTATCTTGACACCCATTTCTTCTGTGGTCCAGAATCGTGTGAGGTCTGTCTTCTGTGTGACATTTACATGAAGTACTGTCAGGCCTGGTTGTTTCTTTTGACTGTTAGATCCAAACGCAACCCAGCCCAAGGGCGACTTCCTTAATAGGTAACGATCTACTTGTTGTGTTTCACCGATATGCATGAACGGGTAATCCACGCCTATTAACATATCTACAGCACCATCTCCTCTGCTCAGTGGACAACCTAACACACGTTCCAATTTCTTTACCACTCCTTTATTAGCTTTCTGAACATTAGCTATCTCTGGAACACCGATACCGATTCCCAAACTCAGTTCTGATCTCTTCAACAGGTTCATCATTGTCGATTAGGCTTTCCATTGCCCGTTTCTGTCTGGTAAATCTGGCCATCGCTTCAGTTTCTTTTCATCCATCACTACTCCTCAGTTGATTACGTAGTAAATTGAATTGTGGCGAGGCAGACGGAGAGAAAAGTATACAATCACAACCGGTCTTAATGTATGAGAGTTTTAATAAACACCATTCAATTCTGTGAAGAATGAATAACAGCATTGTGAATAAATAATTAAATAACAAATCCGTATACTCTCGTTAAAAAAATTGAAAACAAAAGATATAAAATAATGAAGCATATAGCAATAATAATGCATCTTTAACCCATTACATAAACTTAGTAAAAAACAGTCAAGGCATGTACATAAACTTACTATTTTGACCGGGTGTAAATTTAAAAAACAAGTCTCTGGTTAACATCATAAGCAGTGGATGGTAAATCCCTAAACATCACAATATACCACATATATTGACAGTATATAAAAACAGGTATTTTACTAAAATAACAGTCAGTAAAAACATCAGAGTGCAAGCTCGTTTCTTGCCATGTGGATCTACGACGCTTGTAAAAGTGCGCCCTCAATAATACTCATAATAAATCTGGTTTCGGTCGAAACACTATTCAGTAAAAAACTTGAAAAGAAAATTAATTCTCTTTGTAAAGAAAAAGACGGGTATATTTTAATGGGAGGCGATTCTAATTGTATTTTACAACATAAGTTAGATCAAAGAAACAGCATACATAATAATGATAGTTCACCACTCGCCTTGAAGAATTGTATGTATAAACATAAACTCGTCGATATATGGAGAAACTGCAACAAAGATAAATCTCAATTTACTTGGAGGCGAAAAAAATACATACAGACGGTTAGACTTTTGGAGTGTATCTAGCGCCCTCCAAAATCACGGTGAAATAGTTGAAACAGACATTAGGCAATTTTCTCCGATCATCAAGCAATCTCGCTTAAACTTCGTAATGACCAAGAGAAAATAGGACCTGGAACTTGGAAGTTTAATAACAGTTTTTTAAATGATGAAGATTATACTAAAAATGTAATAAATATTATTGAAAATATAAAAAATAATAAATTTAATCTTACGCCGGATTTATTATGGGAATACTTAAAAACTAGAATCAAAGATTTCTCAAGTAAATATGGTACACAAAAGAAAAGAGAAAGAAACGCTAATAAGGAAAAGTTAATAAACGAAATTAATGAATTAACTGAAAACATAGATAGCTATGACAACAATACAGATAATATATTACACAACAAAATAAAAGAATTAGATGATATATACTTACTAGAAGCAAAGGGAGCTCAAATTAGATCCAGACTAGAATGGTTTGAAAAGGGAGAAAAAAATAACAATTTTTTTCTAGGATTAGAAAAAAATAATGCAAAACGAAAACATATCACATCTTTGAGAAAAAGCAACGGGAAATACACATCTGAAACAGAAGAAATTTTAATTGAGCAAATTGTATTTTTTAAGCAACTATATAAAAATAAACGCATCTCCGAAATATGTATTAACAATTATGTTGACAATTCATTCACCAATAAACTCACAACTGAAGATAAAAACAAGTGCGAAGGATTGATAACAGTTGAAGAGTGTGAAAATGCTGTTTCTAAAATGAAGTTAAACAAAAGTCCAGGTACTGACGGACTAACTGTAGAGTGTTATCGTTATTTTTGGAATTACATCAGTAACCTACTATGTGATACCCTAAATTTTAGCTATGTAAATAATAAGTTGACCACGTCACAACGACGTGGTATAATCACGTTATTGTATATAAAGGGGGAAAGAGAGAATCTGGAAAACTGGAGACCAATAACACTACTTAATGTCGATTATAAAATTGCAGCCCATGTGCTTGCTACAAAAATACAGGCAGTAATTAGTACTATTGTAAATAATGACCAAAAGGGATATATTCAGGGGGATTTGCTGGCGAAAGCATTAGGTTAATTGATGATTTGCTTGAATATACCGAAGCAAATAATAAAGAGGGAGCCTTCATTTTTTTAGACTTCGCCAAAGCTTTCGACTCTGTTGATAGGCGATGATTAAAGCGTTGAAAATTTTTGGGTTTGGGGAAAGTTTTATACATTGGGTAGAGGTTTTGTATACTAACACAGAGTGCTTCACAATTAACAACGGATGGATATCCCAGAGTTTTTGTATGAAATGTGGGATCCGTCAAGGATGTCCCCTTTCAGCCTTGCTATTTGTTTTAGTAGTAGAATTAATTGCAATTAATATACGAAACAACGCTTTGTGTCAACGTATTGATCTGCCATCATTTCAAGAAACAGAGAATGTAAAAATAGCTCAATTAGCTGATGATACTGTGTTATTTGCAAAAGATGAAATAAGCATAAGCAATTTCTTTAAAGAAATCGAATTATTTTGTAGTGTTTCAGGTCTGAAACTTAATAAAACCAAAACCAAAGGTATGTGGATTGGTTGTAATAAAAACAAATCAATTGATACATGTGGGATTACTTTTATTCAGGAACCAGTAAAGTTTCTAGGAATTTTCATCGGTTATGACAAGAAAATATGTAACACAAAAAACTGGGATGATAAAGTTTTAAATTTAGAACAAGTTTTAAAACTACGGGAAAAAAGAAAGCTATCCTTCTTCGGAAGGATTACAGTAATCAAAACGCTTGCTCTTGCTAAGCTTGTGTATAATGCAAGCATTATGGAAATGCCAGAATTAATTATTCCCAAGGTAAACAAAATTATATATCAATTCTTGTGGAATGGAAAAAAATAAAAAGAAACACGATCATCCAAGAGCTAATCAAAGGAGGTCTAAAAATGATAGACATTAATTCAATGCTATAGACTCACTCAAGTTAGGTTGAGTTAAACGACTTTTAAGTCCAGATCCCGGTAAATGGAAGTGCATTTCATGTTTTTATATGTACCCAGTAAAGTATACATTAGGTATAACCGACATAAATTTAGATAAGCATTTAGCGCTAAATAAAATGCCAGTATTTTATAGAAAGTTGCTTCTTACTTGCTCACGATTTAATAATATGCATGAAAAACAGCCACAATGCATCTGTGAAATAAAAAAACAAAGACTTTGGGAAAATAAAAACATAAAAATAAATAACAAATCTGTTTTCTGCAAAACATGGGCAGACTCACACATTAAAACCATATCAGATATTATTGTTGATAATAGATTTTAAAAACTGGGTGAAATTATCCCTCAGCTTTTAAAAACAGAAAATGGTATAATAGAATACATGGTGTTAATGAATGCAATTCCAAAAAAGATTGTAGCACACCAACCTTTTTGTTTAGTGCACAGAAATGTTCAAATTATTGATACACCTTCCATAAGTAAACTAAAAGTTAAAGATTTTTGTGTCATTTATAAATGGAAAATGTATTATACCAAATGCTAAAAAAGGTGGGAAACGGAGTAACAAATGGATGCAATAGCCTGGGACCTATGTTGGAAGAGTAAAATTAATTCAATATTACATATAACAAAAATTGCACAGTTCAATTTAAATATTTTACATAGACTATTACCTACAAAACATAGACTAAATGTATGGAAATTATCTGCAACCAATCTATGTGAGTATTGTAATATTACTGAAAATGAAGAGCACATGCTATTTAAATGCAAAGATATAGAAGCATGTTGGACGAAATTACACAACAATTATACAACACATTTATGAAGTTAAAATATTGAATAGATTATGTTTGAGGACAAAATGTCCTTGGGTGATGTTTTTATCAGAACTAAACAGACTAATTAAATGTGAATTTTTAATTAATAATGAAAAATCAAAAAATAAATGGTCTGTGGTCGATCTAGATAAGTTTAAATAAATATATGTATAAATAAATGTGTGATGGTTGACTTCTACGGAAGACAAGCAATTGAAGAAAATGATAAAAAAAAATAAATAAAGAATACAATAGTCGATGTCTGAACACTTATTATGTAGGATAGTAAAGAGGCGTGTACTAAGTAATTTCATAACAGATATATATTTCATACTATTATTTACTTAATATATATAATAACTGTAGATGAAAATGTAGACTATATGTTATGTGTAATATATCTACGTAGTTTAAGACATTATGATGAAATAAAAGTGGGACGATCCCACAAAAGAGAAAAAAAAAACAGTAATACTATTAGGCCTATAGAAACCATCCTGAATAAATCAT